AATGTAGTTATAATGTAGTTACTATCATTCTAATATCCTTGTTTTATGTAACTGAAGGGCCGGATACTCAAAACACCTCAAAAGTTACGTTTTTCAGCATGATACAGTACCATATATTGTGGAAGCCTTACACTACCATAAATTTAGCAAACTCAAAATTTAATTATGGTTCCGTAAGCCTTCCGTAAGTTCTCGTAACTCTAGTGTTTACCCTGTAAATTAAGTTCTCTTGTCGGACGGTAGATGTCAGTGCAGATGCTAGTTGGCCAATCAACGCTCAGTTAACAAAATCATCAACCAATCACAAGAGAAGGAGAAATCAGCTGAGAGCGACGCACGTAATATTATTTTGTAAACATGGAAGGACCACCAGCCAAGATGAGACGACCTAATTTCAGTGAGATGGGGGATATATTTCTGGGTTCGAGAGATGATGTAATGGGCAATTGCAGGAACTACCGAGAAAATTTTTCCATTACCATAAACATTCTGGGGATGAGGGATATTTTCTTGATTTGTGATAATTGTCTCGTTAACGGGAAAACACTCATTCATTCACGGTAGTGCTCTTCACCAATTGTTCTGGCTAACAGAGATCTCACAGTATTTGGTGTTTTACCCCACTAGAATTTAGGTAAATAATCCCTTGCATAATGTTGGCCTGTGACAAGACACATAAGCTATACTAAGATAGCCTTATTCTGGGCAAATTCAAATAAATTGGTTATTGATAGCATAGCCTTGCCTAACCTAAATGACAAATCACTTCTCTTAAATTACTCATTTAGCCTAGACCCTGGTGTTTTCCTTTCAATGTTGGGAACATTTGGTCTGAATTGTCTTCAAGTTCATACAAAAAACAACAATTTAAAACCTGAAAATTTATCGGATTAGCCGTAAATTTTCTTAAATTAATACTCTACCTATGATAATGTTCAAGGAAAGTCTGGAACTAGGCCTAAGGTAGCTGCTAGACTAAGTGTCTCACTGACGGCCTGACGCTCACCTAAAAACCATGTACACATTCTCTAACCTAACATACCATAACATAACATAACCAAACCTATCTATCTAACCTATACCCTATTAGTATAATTTCTTATTTAAATAATCCTCATGTTCTAACTAAATTAAGTAGGCCCCACGTTTAAACATTTATTTGCCTAAGACTGAAAAAGCAGTTATATAGGCACCTATTAATCAAGTTAATTGCAATCCATATTTTACACCTAATATCATTTAATTTTCGCTAGCCTATGGAAATTTATAGCCTTTCATGTTATCATAAGCCATACACATAAGAAAATAGGCTAAGGCTATTGGTTGAATATTAGAAAAACAAGGCGAAGTCTTGGCAGGAATGTTCACTTGACCTCATATTTGGCTTTCATTACTGAGGGATATTTACGGCTATACAACATTAATAAGTTCTATCTGCAAGTTTACTCAGTCATAAAACATATTTTTACCCTAAGTGTGAACAATACAAACCTTCTGTTTTGGTAAAAAATACTTTATAATGTGTAAGAAGACAAAAGATGCGTCTCTTCCAAACTGAGACAAATACAAACACTCAAGCCGCTTATTATGGCAACAAACATTTTACGAAAAAGACAAAGTGAAATCTTATATTTCAGTATGTTGATGTACAAAAAATTTTCTTCAGTATTCTATGATAAAACAAGTCTAACAGGCATTATTACAACACATATTATTATTATTTTTTACACAATCGGGAATTATTCACTACTACATCAGGGTTGAGTGTTACACAACCTCAGGAGCTGGTGTAAGTTACACTCTTTAACTTACGGAGTTCGATGTCAAATATTTGTTTTGAGTATACCATCTGTGTTTTGAGTATGCCAATCTGAGACTGTAAGTCCAGTTACGGGGTACACAACGAAATACAGTCCCATAAATGTTTTTGAGTATCCGGCCCCTTGTCTTCATTTATAAAATAAAAGATAACTACAATACTTATGGTTAGGTTAGGTTTGTTTGGTTAATTTCATGGACGATATTATAAAGACCCACGACCGGACAAATAACCATTTCGGTTTTACTAACCTAAGTTAAGTAAAGTATGTATGGTAACTTGGTAATATTGTGACAGAAAACGACGATTCAGATGAAACAAGAGCAGATTTTATCCAGTGAACTAATTTCCACTTATTTATAGTAATAAAAATAAGCTAAAACTATTTGGCAAAAACATGTTTCGTTTTGCGTATTATTCCCATTAACCGTGATATATATATATATATATATATATATATATATATATATATATATATATATATATATATATATATATATATATATATATATATATATATGTGTCTGTGTGTGTCAACGTGTGTATCTACCTGTCTCTCTATCTCTCTGTTTGTGTCTCCGCTCGTGTCTCTCGCTGTAAACAGAACCATTTGCGTGAACTAGAGAGGTGTGTGTGGGGGGATTGAAGACGGTCGAGTACAGTACCGTCTCCACACCTCTCCTGATGGGCTCTTAGTACCTTATGATCCAACTCCACTGTGTGTTTTACCCGCTAAAGTTTATTTTAAATTGGTCAAGAGAATTTAGTTTCAGTAGTGTTGGGTAGTCCCCTCCGGCTTGACCTATCGCCTTAACCATTGACCTGTTTTGGTGTGTAAATGAGGTTAGTAAGTTGTGTAGCCAGCCAGGGAGGACCATTGTGGCGTCTTAGAAGGGCTTAAGGAGATGCCTGGTCCCCCTCCTTCCTCCCTCCTCCTCCAGGGTGCGAGTGTTGGTTCGTTGTCAGATTCTACACTATTAACGCTCTAGGTCATCGGGCTGGTCTTCTCTTCCACACACGCACACACACACACACACACACACACTGTTACGACCGTGTCGTATTTTTTCAATTTTTTTTATATATAACATGCTCCCATGTTCCATATTATTCCTGTAATGATGTGTTAAATTTACTATTATATATTCTAGTCACCTTACCCTGTGCTGGTAAGGTTTTAACTGTCATTATTTGTTCAAGCCCATCTTATTTCTTTATTTTGTATTGTAACCAGCATTCTCTGTTCTCTAACGACCATCTGCATCGTTAAACGACCCACCGGCGGGTCGCGTGGCGGGAGCCGACCTTATATATAGGACCCACCAACTGACTTGAGTCAGTTCGGTCCTCTTGTCATACAGTCCACATCCTTTGAGTGTCACTTGTTACTTATACTTAATTTATTTGTGTTGTTCCTGTCGCCACCAATGTGGTATATCTATGTGAGTACCTATTTATGTCTTTATTTGTGTCCATCAGTATTTGCTTAGTTGTATTCAAGTAATTCAGTGTTGTTTCACGTTAGTTAATTTCAGTGATAGTTTTTATATGTTTATGCAGTGTTAACGTAATCCAATGCTTTATTTTTATTCTTTTGATGTTTCGATGTTTTGTATCACTTGTGTCTTAAAAGTTTCGATGGTGAATCAATTTGTTGTGACAGCCTACGAGGCTCTTTATTGTGTTAATATTTAATCAATTAAATTCTTAAAGGTTTACTTTATTTATTTTTATTCTCTTTTAATTTACTTCACTTTTTGTTTGGTTACGCCTAGAACCTGGATATTTAAGTAAATTAAGAGACGGCGTAACAGTTTTGGCGACCTTGCCAGGATTCACTAACGATCTTTTGACACTTGTGATATTTTTTTTTTCTAAGCATGCTGATGGATTTGTTTTGAGGCATGGTAGGACTAACATTGGTAATTTTGTGCGTAATATTTTTGTACATGACAAGAGATGGACTCGTTCGCCACCTAATGGGGCGTCCTAATTTTCTAATTTAATTGTAGTTTCCGTGGAAAGCCGGGTCATAAGGCGTATTTTTGTTGGACAAGGCCGCAGCCAAATAAGGTGAAGCACGAGAGGTTGCAGTTTCGGTTCTCGCCTCACGAGACTTTGATCTTTTCCAGGAGAGTTTTGGGAAGGACCCAGACGTTGGTACCTTTCGTCCCTTTTTGTCACAAGGCACGGTAGAAGTTGACGGTGTCGAAACACCAGTCACTATTTTGAGAGACTCGGGTTGTCACCAAACTCTCATCAAAGAGGGTGTTGTTGCGGTGAGGAAGACTGACAAAACGTCGTTTTGGGCGCCCTTTGGGGTAAAGGTGCAGCTCCTTTGGTTTTTCAGGTATAGCTAAACGTAGCCGGTGAGCACGAGCTGCCTGTGTTAGTACGTGTCAAGTCTCCTTGTTGCTAAAGAGTGGACCTCATACTCGGTAACGATTTGCTGCAACCGCTTGAAGATGATATGCCCGGTGTTTTCCCTTGTGTGCTGTGACTCGTTTTTTGTTAATGACTAATGATCATAATGTAACTCCTGATGTAGATAATTCACTGTCCTAAGAAGGACGTTTTGCTAACCCAATTGCTTCCCAAGACATTTCTTCTGCAGTTAATGCTGTGACCGGGAGAGTTGTTTAATAGCTGCGCAAGAGCAAGAAGTTTCATTACGGCTCTTGTTTGACCTGGTGTCCGATTCTGCCAATGATTCAGGCCCTACCACGAGATATTTAAGTCAAGACTGTGTTTTGTGCTGCCGATGGCTCCCACCGACTATGTCCGAGGAAGACGCGGACTGGGCGTCTATCACTCAAATAGTCCTCCCACACACTTACAGACAACATGTTCTAGCTCTGGCCCATGACCGTCGCTTTTCTGGACATCAAGGTGTCCGAAAGACGTTCAACAGGCTGGCCAGAAAGTTCAATTGGCCAGGTATGAGGAGAGATGTCACTAAATATTGTAAGTATTGTCATTTTTGTCAAAAGGTAGGCAAAGCCAATCGGGCTATTCCACCTTTTCCACTTGTAAGAGTACCTCACGTACCTGAGCCCTTTACAACAGTACAGTGTGATATTGTAGGCCCTCTGCCTAAAACTTCTAGAGGGTTTGAATATTTATTTACAGTCCTTAATACCTCCACTAGGTACTTGTATGCTGTACCTCTTAGGAAAATTAC